CACCCACATTATGTGAAATAAATGCTTCAAGCGGTACCATCATTCGTGAATGTGCTCGGACAAATATTATTTTGAAACCAAAGAATCATGATTCGTGTAAAGAAAACACTAACCTATTGAAGACTGAAAAACAAAAACCAAAAATTGTATCTTGTGTAACTATACCGTCCACAAAACGTACGTCAAATATTATTTACCAAAGCGATTATGATAAAGAAAATATTGAAGCTAGACAAACGATAGCAAAACAAAATGATTTTTCTTTTTACACAGAAAAGTCTAGAAACATTTCTACAAAAGCGGAAAAAATTAAAAAAAACAAAAACATCCAATGTTAAGCTGCGACCAAAGGAAAAAATTAGAAAAGACTTTAAAGTTTCCAAAGAAAAAAATATGAAAGGCTTAAAGAAGAAATTGAAACGAAGAGACAGTAAATCAAGCAACAGTGATATCGATATGAGTATTCACAGTGATTCAGATATATGCGGGAATGTTTCCGATCAAGATGAGCCAGGTTCTCCTGTAGATGCTTATGATTCTAATTTATCTATAGGCAGTGAGAACATAGTAGCGACGATCACAAAAACAGGTCCTAATTTATGTTTGAATGAACCACTGGTTCCTGTAACAGTAGATCATTTTTCAGAACCATGACCCTCGACTAGTTCAACGCGGGAAGAAGTTTCTGTAGAGTATAAAATAGGCGAATATGTTTTGGTTAGATATTTTTTTACAAAAAAAGTTGATTATTACGTGGGAATCATTTTAGACAAGCCAAAAAATGGCAAGTTAAAAGTATCTTTCTTAAGAAAAGTCGGCAAAAATGACAACTCAAAATTTATAAAAGTAAAATCACCGGATATCGAAGTAATAGACTGTAAGAATATTGTCAAGACTGTTGAGCTTCTAGCATTTAATGACGCCGAAACTGATTTTGTACTTGCTGATGATGACGATTACATTTATTTTGATTATTAATAAACTTATAGAAGTTACAACTTCTCAGAAGTTCTTATTTACTACGAACTTATTGTTTTTGTGATAATAGTTTTTGTTATTGTTGTGTAGTAGTAAGTAGTACTTTAAGAGTCAACTTAGTTTTGAAATATCTACGTGCTATGACAACAACCAAATATTTTTTATAAAGTTCCTTTATTAAGACTGTTGGTTAAAGTAAAAAATATAAGGTGTAAACAAATAAATTGAAATATCTACTACACGATTAAAATGTTTGAAACAACTGATTTTTTTAGAAAATTTTTGAGTAGTACTGTGTTATGTAAAAGTATTTTGTTTGCACACTATATTTATAGGTTATTTTTTTCTTTCTTAGTTTAGTTATTTGTTTATATGTGTCCGGGCGCAAAGCGCTTAATACTTATAACTGCAATGAATAACTATTGTACCTGACTGATTTTTAATACAAAAATTTATAACATGAAAAGATTATTATTTATCACATTATGTGACAACCCTAAGCCACCGTTTTAGTTTGTAAGAAAATGTAGCTGGTGTGTAGTATAACATTGCCCACCCAACTGAAATAAAAAAATAAAAGGTTTTCGACATTTAGATCAAGAAAAGTGGCAACTTTGCATAATTCACCATAATATATTTTATTTCCAAAGCCTTAGAACTGATAGTTTTAGAAAAATAAGACTGAGCAATGTTGGACGGTTGTGCGTATAATTTAGCCCGGCTATTTAAACGCGTTTTTCTTGAATTCTGTTGAAGCCAGGTTCTCAACATTTTGTGATTTAAAGCTTTTAATAGTAATTGCTATATTGATCAACTTTATTACGAGTTCTGGTAAATAATTTTTGCAAAATCTCAAAATTAAGTAAAATTGCGGGCAATGATGGCCGGTTTTACGGAACCCAATAGCTTTTTTCTCCTAATTCTTTTCTCAAATAATAACCATAAATGTTGGCTGCGAATTGCAGCAGCATCAAAATTATGGACGCCAACAATTTTCTTGTCCCTCTTTCTTTTTTCCGGTGTACGTAAAGGATTATCTTCTGAGCCTAATGGTCCGTATTTCTCTTTGAGAATTTGAGTTACTGATCTCTTCCCTATTCCCAATGCTTCGGCAACACGTTCTCTCGGTTGTGTCAATGGTAAAGGAGGGGCATCGTTAACTGATTCACGTTCAAAATAATTGTACAATTTTACCACTAGTTCGCAAGCTTGACTGTTTAGCGTTTTTCTTCGTTTCGACATGGTAAAACAAGATTGTTGTTCTTGTTTACTAATAGTTAAGCAATCAGAGTCCAATTTATAGCCAGGTAAACGTCAGAGTGAGATCATTCCTATAAAAAGCCGGGTCCGAAGAAAATAACAAAGAGCACACCATAAACGCACAGTCACTTCGCACAACGACAAAAGTATGGAGTGTAGAGGTAAAGAGTACCAACTCCCATATGAGAATAGTTGTAAAAGTGGCCATCTCTAAGCAGTAAATAACACTTCAAAAACTCTCCACAGCAGCGCAAGTAGCTAGAGTGTATGAAATGAACTTAGCAGTTGTCGACGGAGTGCAATGTGGTGAGTTGATGAATTTAATATTTGTGATGAAACTGCAGTATTTAAAACCTCAACTACTCACGTTGTCTAAAATAATTTAGTAAATATAACCTAGAAAAAGTCGCCGTAAAACACATTGAGTGATTTTGAAAATAAAAAATTTGAAAGCAATAAAATAATTATTATAAAAAGAATTATGGTGAAAGTCTGTGCAATAAAAAATAAAAAGTTCTTTAAAATTTACACTGTAGCTACAGTGGCGCCACCCTTGTTTAGCACTTTCCTACGGACACTTTTTATACAGAGTTTGTTCTCCTTATAAACACTCCATACAAAAGACTGCATCATGTAATAGCGACATGACATGGCGTCATCGACAGACACTAGTGTTGCCAGGAACATTCCACGAATTTCATCATCATCATCATTACAGCCCTTCATAAGTCCACTGCTGAACATAAGCCTCCCCCAAGTAATGCCACAAAGCACGGTCCTGAGCTACCTGCATCCATCGACTTCCTGCAAGTCTTACCAGGTCGTCACTCCATCTAGTGGGGGGTCGCCCTACACTACGCCTACCGGTACGAGGCTGCCACTCGAGAACCTTTCTTCCCCATCGGTTATCGGTTCTTCGAGCTATATGGCCGGCCCATTGCCACTTCAGCTTACTAATCCGTTGGGCTATGTCGGTCACTCTGGTTTTACTGCGGATATCCTCATTTCTGAGTCTATCACGCAGAGAAACTCCGAGCATAGCCCTCTCCATAGCTCGCTGAGCGACCTTGAGCGTCCTCATACGGCCAGCAGTGAAGGACCACGTCTCTGATCCGTAAGTCATCACTGGCAACACGCACTGGTTGTACACTTTAGTTTTCAGAGATTAAGGTATACCTGACGAGAAGATGTGTCTTAATTTCCCGAACGCTGCCCAGCCGAGTTGAATCCGTCGATTGACCTCTCGGTCGAAGTTGGACTTACCTAGTCGGACTATTTGTCCCAGGTAAACGTACTCGTCAACAACTTCGAGCATAGTGCTCCCCACAACTACCGGCATAGATGTGACATGGACATTGAACATAATCTTTGTTTTGTCCATGTTCATCTTAAGACCTATCCGTTGGGAGACACTATTGAGGTCATTGAGCATAGTGCTAAGGTCCTCCAGCGATTCTGCCATAAGGACTATATCGTCGGCAAATCGAAGGTGAGTGATGTACTCGCCACCCGCTTTCAGAAACTCCGCTGTAATTCCATCCTCGCCTGGGGCCCTGCCGTTTTTAACGTGCTGGAGAGCCATTCTAATCTCGCTCAGACTGACGTCCGGGATATCATCGGAATAGTGTCGGGTAAGACTTGATCTTGTATCGTTACTCAAACTTGCGTGTGGCTCTAACGATGATGTGTACAGCTGCCCATAGAACCTCTCAATCTCACTCAGAATCTCAGTTGTCCCGGAAACGATGCTGCCACACTCAGTCTTCAGCTTTGACAGTTGGCTCTTTCTGGCAGACAGATATCCACGAGTTTATGGCCTAAAATTTACCTAAGTTTAATCATTTTTCTATTTAGTTATTTTTGAATTTTTAAAGTTAATTAAAAGAATAATATGTTTTATTATCATCACAATGTTGTTATTCATTTATGGTGAAATATTCCTTTACAAGTACATACATAATAATTGCATTCAAATCTACTTATCAAGTTTTTTTTTGGTGTCCTCCCCCATCCCTAGTGTTTTAAAAGAAAAAGGCTTCACTGACGCAACATTGTAACGACGCTAGACGTTCAGTTCTCTTAAGAAGAGATATTGTTTATTATTTTTAAATGGTTTACTAGTGAAAGTAAATCATAAAATTACCTTCTGTTGTCATTATTACAATAAATGATGTAATTGTAATTGAAAAAAGACAAGCCATTGCGCAGTTCTAACTTCGAACAAAATAAATAATATTTTATGCCCGCCCGTTACGTGTTGAATTTTGATGAAGTGTCAAATGTGATCTAATATATTGGCCCTATTATAACAATAGTTATTTTAATGTGTTACTACATACTTACTTTACTATTTTTATTTTAAGTAGTTCGATTTTTTTATAACAGTAAACAATAAATTAAAGCAAATTGTGACAAAAAAATAGATGCGGCACTCGCAACTTTAGTGTCGCAGGATACTAAAGCAACCCTCACAGGTCATTTATCGATACTTGTCTACAGTAAAAGTTATTATGTAAGCCCAAGGCGTGCCTTCCCGGGCTCTGCAAGTCAAGTACTTATCTCTACATATAAAAATCAATGGCTGTCCGTTAATCTCGCAAAAAATCGAAAATGTTTCGACTGGTTTTGATATTTTTTGTGTGTCCTTGGATGGTTTAAAAACTCTGTAGGACCCGTAGGTGGCGCTGTTGTCGAGATCCAGAAATCACCCATGCAAAGCTGGAGCTGATCTCTCATATGTAATAAAAGATAAATAATCTTACCTGCGTAGGATCTCTGAGCAAGTCTTCAGTATGAACAACTATTCCTAAAATATCAGAACTAATAGCATTCTGAACAGCAGCAGGGATAGTTAAACATCGGGGATCTCTGTATGGCTGATACTTGCTTGTGATACCCTAGAACATGAAATACGTTTTAATAATAATAACACTTGCTAAAATAATATCAGTTTAAATGTGTTTATTTTAAATAGCTAATTACTTACAACAGTCAAAAACATAACTGGATATTTATTCTGTTTTTGGCGAACCATGGTACAAATATCAGGATTGAAACACGAAAACACAATCCGCCGTTCACCCGCATGCTTTAAAACAACTTCCAATATCTAAACAGAAATAAAAGGTAAAAAAATAACAAAAGCTATGTATAAGGATTAATATCACTAAAATAATAAAAAAATAATACAATGGCAAACAATAATATCCTAGTTTACAAGGTGACCGTCACCACCATGGTGTGAAGGTCTGACTGAAATTAACGTAATAATTTATACAAATTAACATAATAGTTTCATTGTGAAGAGAATAATCCCAACGCCTTGAAATGCCTTTTAGAGCATAAGGGGCGACAGCACTTACAGTTTTCACCGGTTTCTTTTCCTATCCCCCTTACCCTAGGTCGTTTTGTCTCCCCTGCTTTGTGGCCCATGTCTGGTTGGGGTTTTATTTTTTATTTAGTATACAACGTGCAGCTACAATGGTGACTTTAATTTTACACATGGGTAGGGCTAGTGCCCATTAATAATATTAAATTTGATAAGTTAAAATAACTCATAAATTGAAAAAAAAATTTCAAACAAACTAAATAATAAAAATGTAACTAAAATTGGGATCACCCTTGCAAAAATTCATTCATAAAATTACCTAGTTAACTTGGAGCGTCGTTTCGCGAGCTGGCAACCGCTCAGCGCGTCTGGTACCTACAACCGCCTACAACCTTGTACTTGTGATGGTCCGTATCTACTAATGGGTTGACTCCCGCCAAACGCGCAGATTTTGGTATTTGGGTGCCCAATGGTGCAGATTGTGCTGGTTCCAACACAAATACATGCCGTTTCTGGTGAACGTCAGTCCAACAAATTTGGGAAAGAAAGTCACAGTCCTCTTCAATTTTATTCAGTAGCCACTGACAATAATTCACTCTTATTATTTTATCACGCGTATGTACTTTTCTAACCTTGAATGCGTACCACTTTTTGCACTTTAAATGTCCGCATATTATTTGCTATTACGATCACAAGTTTACACAAGCACTAATAACACAAATAAAAGCGTACCTACTAGATTAGAAAACGAAACCAAAACAAAGCGTCTTTATCGCAGTACCATAACCTAATTACACAAAAATTAATAAATAAAACAATAAGTAAGCATCTTTTTCGCGAAAACGTTCACAAAGATAATAGTTGACGTAATTATGGGCACTACTGTGAAGATGTGTGTCAAGGACACGGGTTCGGCGACCACTAGAAATACAAAAAACTCAGTGTTGCCACATTGAATTACCCTAGGTCTCTAGATTACCGTCAAAAAGTACCTAGTTATACATGAATTGAGTAACAATAAAAGTCGCTTTCTGACAAAGTTTCTTTCCTTCAATAGTATTTTATTATTTGTTTTAATTTCAATGATGCGATGTTATGATTCGTGACCCCGCCATATGACCGCTGCGACAGTTGTCTAAGTATAGGTTGCTCTAAGATCCTATTTTCTACAATTTCAAATAAATCCGTAAATAATAATGTTTAATGGAAATATAATATCTTAATGAAGTGAAAATGTGAAAACATATATGTGTGTTGAAATAAAGTCACCATTGTAGGGGCACATTGTATATTTTTATACATTTTTCATTCTCTCGTGTGGTTGCGGTGTAATAAAAACAATCGAAAGGTGTTGTAAAAGGCGACTATAGAAAATATCTTATGGCATCCGATAGATGTCGGTAGAACCACCTCTTTACGCCTGGCATATATTATTATGCATATAGTTGCTTTGAAGTAAAGTTACAGCCTATATACGTCCCACTGCTGGGCTCAGGCCTCCCCTCATTTCTGAGAGGGTTTAGGGCAAGGAAGTGTCCGCGCGCGCTGCCCAAATGCGTGTTGACGAACTTCACGTCTTCGAAATATTTTTTTTCTTATTCCTCAGACATGCAGGTTTCCTCACGATGTTTTCCTTCACCGCCGAGCACGTGGTAAATCAGCACTTAAAATTGCAATTAACAATTTCATTGGTGCCGGCGGGGATCGAACCCGGGTTACTCGCGTTCTGTTATATTTACAGCGAGCGTTAACCACTGAGCTAACACGGCTCTAGTGTATTATAGTTGCCTTGAAGATGCTCTAATTGTAATCGGAGGGAAAGACAGTTATAATTCGTGTAATATCGACAACAAAAGGGTGAAGCTGCTGCTTCTGCTGATGATGGTGATAATAATTATATCTAATACACAATAGGGTATTATATATATTCATTTGTACATATTAGTAAGTTTAGTAAATTTAAATAAAATTTTTAAAATTCAAATTGTTAATTTAAAAAAAAAATTGAAAATTGAAGTTGAAAATCAATCTTTTAAATAAGAATTTTCTAAACTAACACATCTCATCAACATTTTCTGTTCCTGGCTTGGTATTGTATTTTGGGACTCTGTACAAGTAAATAATAGTGTTACATCTTAGTCTCAAAATATAAGGAATAAAAATTTACCTTGTCTACATAAACATTCATATCAAATGGATTGTTCAGTTCAAATGTACCATCATTTAGTTCCATTGTCCATTTTAGTTCAATGTTGAATCCCACATGCAAGTCAATGCTTTTCAGAGTGTCTTCTAATGTTGGAAAGGGTTGATGTTCTTCTAAATCTTCATCAAAAAATAGAATTTCATGGTTTCGACCTTCAACTAAATGGTACACCTACACCAAACATTTAAAAATATTTTACAACACTAAAATAACCTTAACAGCAGTTTTAACAAATAGAAAACTGCTTTTATTTTAATTTACTATTAGGGTAGACTTAAGGAGGACCATCTTAGTGCATATAAATAGTTTCTCAATTTAAAATTATAAAGATAGCCCAGAAAATTATAATTGTGGCAAAATTAAACAGGGAAATATCAACATATGTATGCTGAAATTACTATTCCAAAATACTTAAAAACAAAGAAAATAAAAAACAATCAATACTTAATTTACATAAAATAATACCCGGCTTTTATTGAGACACTACAACAGCAACTGCTTAGTTCAAACTAACCATAATGATATATTAGCGATCCCATCATTAATAACTTCAACGTGTAATGCTTTCAATTTAAGCCCTCATATGATAAAGTCCTCTTTAACTTTTCCCTGGATGACAAATCAACAAACATTATGTTCTACCTACATTATGCAATGTTATACCTTAAGTTTCTGCAGATGCTCCAAAGTTAAGTCCTTCACAGGTAATTCTAGCATCTCTGCAAAATCAACTTCCCTTTTTCTTTTCATTGAAATACAAACATGAAAGTCATGATATATAACTGGAATCATGTCTTTACTTAGCTGAACATCAAATTCTAGTAAGTCAGCACCACTGGCTGCAGCTTTTTTTAGAGAAGCTATTGTATTTTCACGAATAGCATTTCCTCTGAAAATAGTTTTATCATAGAACAAACTCAAGATAAAATAACTAAAACATTCTTCAGAAAGTAAGAATAATGCTTTCTATGATACACAATGAGTTGTTACAATAAATGTCATCACTGGTCAAAGATATGAATTTTCATTACTTCAGCTTTATTTTTAATTGTAAAATTATTTAATGTGAAAGTAAGCTAAAGTTAAATTGGCTTCAAATTTAAGCCATATTTTCATCACCATATTATACTACTACACAGTGACTCAAATATGGCAACAAGTTTGCTGACAATTATCCAAGGAAAAGAAAACCTTTTCAATACAATGTTCAATTGAAACACTGCAGCACCAACTAGATACAATAAGTTAAGGATGAATGAGAAATTATATTTTAAGGATTAGACACTACTTACTCTTTAGTTTTAAAACTGGCCCCTAAACCTCGATGTCCAACTTCTAAACCTTTCCAAGTTGGATCCCAATGCTTAGCATAGGAAACTTGCAAGTCACATATTTTTTCTTTCATTGGATGTATAATTAAATATTCAAAATTCACCGTACCCAGAGGCCTGTGTTTAACATTGCAAGTCACTGGTAACTCTAGGAAACCTTCAGATGGCTTAAACATATTTGGTAATACATATGTATAACCAACATGGTATGGAGGATAATCAATAGCAGCATGGCTACTATATGAATAAAAATCTATAAGATATGCTAATAACTTGTGATTAGGAGCATATATATTTATTAGAAGTATGTCATTAGGCTTATATTCTCTTCCAAATTGTTCTTGAGGTTGTAATTGACAAATCTGAGGGTCATTGTCAAAAGTAGATACTTCAACATTTACCCCTATTGGAATTTCTACATCCGTTGTATCGTTACTTTGGGAATCTTCAAGATGCGCTTCAGCTCCAAAAGACAAGTTTACTGGTGTAACTTTTATTTTCATTATTCTACTTGAGAGACGGCTCTTCAGTTTCAAGGGATTGTTAACAAATTTAAATTGCACTAATGTCTGAGTTGTAAGCCAACCTCTTGTAATTCTTTGTTTGCCATCATATTCACCAAAGACATCGGTAATAGATTTTTGCATGTTTTCTTTAATAACTCTAGGATGGATGTTTGCTTCCCATCTTTGCACAATTAAATCTTTAGACTCTTCATTGACTAGACATATGGCGTAACGATAAAATACGTCGCAGGTATTTGGTATTATTATTTGTTTACTCCACAGATCAGAACCATCATGCTGTTCAAGAGGAACAACTTTTGTGTAATCCCACTCACCAAGTTCCAACGTACTTCCTGATATAAAAACCTTTTCTTTGGGACCGATATTTGAAACCGAAACCCTAAATAGCCATTCTTGCGACAAAACCTCACGTTCTTCACTTTGTTGTTTAGCTGACATTTTCCTCAAAATTTTATTTACCTTATGGTCTTGCAAGAAAAACCAACGTTGCATTACCAAAAGTGAATGATAACAAACTGACTAAAAACTAAGAAAGAGAGCACAGAGAAAAAAAATACACCTCTTAGTAAAAATATCACCTAAATCAATAAAAAATAAGGCAATCATTTTTAAAGATTGTGATAACACCGCAATTAATGAATATTATGAACAGAACAGAATAGGGTATTAAACGGCCAACCACATTCGGAAATTTAGAAAATACATAAATTTAACATAAATTCGTAATTACAATGTAGAAATATCATAGCAATAGCAGTAAAAATATTCTCTGAATCTGTGGTTCTGTTCTGACAGTAATCTTAGGGTATGTTCCGAAATACAATGCAGTGTACTGTCCAATGCAAATGACGTCATGAATCGACGCTATACTGGTGATTCGTTCCAAAACATTGGACAGTATATGACGTCATACTTTTGCGCCATTTGGAAAAGTGTTGGCGATTATTTTGTCATTTTGTGCTCCAAAAATCATTATATCCTCCTAATGGATATACCATAAATTATTCTATAATTTTTTGTATTTGAATAAATAGAAAAAAATTCTGGCACGCTTCATTCGGTAAACACACAATTAAAAATTGTTTTATTATGGCCGGATATCCGACACAATATGGCGGCGGCACGCTAGTACAATAAAAGTGTCAAATGATGACGTCATTTGCATTGGACAGTACACTGCGTTGTATTTCGGAACATACCCTATGTGTTCTGTGATGTCAATTTTCACTACGATTTTCAGTTATACTGGGAGTATAGAAGTAAGGAGTACAGACTGTGTATTAAAAAGTAACCATAGAAAACCGTTAAATAAGGGTGGCGCCACTATAACTACGAGGTGAATTTTAAAGAACGCACCGAAAAATATTAGTGGGATAGACGACTTTTTCGAGGCTATATTTACTAAATAAAATTATTTTAGTTTTTAGAGCTACTGAGCAGTTTAGGAGCACACTTTAACCGTAACTTCTACACTCCATAAGTTATATAAAGGTACATACAACAGAGTACATAATGGGTATGTTCCAAAATAGAACTCAGTGTACTGGCCAATGCATATGACGTCGTAAATCAACGCCATACTGGTGATTTGTTTCAAAACATTAGACCATGAAGTATGGAGTGTAGAAGTAAGGAGTACCAACTCCCATAGTAGAATAGTTGAAAAAGAGGCCATCTGAAAGCAGTAAATAATAGTTCAAAAACTCTCCACAACAGCGCTGGAGTAGCTACTGGGATGAAATGAACTTAGCAGTTGTCGACGAAAGTCATTTTCAGTCTATTTTTCCGATCTGTGAGTGGAAGCTGGAAACCAATTTGTTCTAGCAGCACGAATTTCATCGCGCGCGACCTAGTTTAGTGTTAGGCGTTGGTTGATTAGAGCATATTAAATATAATTAATATGTTAGGAGATACTTTGAAAATAAACTTAGCTAATGTTTTATTAAACGTAAATAAACTATAAATACAAAAGTAGTGTAATATGTAAATAGTTAATTATAGTTTAGACAATCAATTAACATTTAAATATTTCTATAATTGATTAATAATGTACATTAATATTAAGTAACGTTTCAATCAATTATAGACAGTCCTATGCCTGAAAAGTATAAAGGAGAGTTCATTGGTTTTTTGTTAATGCATTATTTTATTTTAGGCGATGTACTAATAAATAAAACTCTAGTATAGCACGTGGTCTGTACAACGAACGACATGTAATGTAAAGTTCTACGATATTTAGCGTGCTGCAAGTTTTTACGCACCTGTCGGCTGCCCACACGCTTTCTTATAAATAGCGTGCTATAACATAGCGTACTTATTTAATGGCATGCTATAAATTTATAGGCGTAGTCCCTAGGTGTCTACTAACGGTACAGAATAAATAATAGTACTACGTACATAAGTTGCAGTCCTTTGATGCTGATTGCTTGCCGACGTTTAATAGCCTACATAATTATTATTAATAAGATAAATCGTGCTCGCAAGTTAAATAAAACTATCACTGCGTGAGAGTGCCGATATTACTTTGCATCTTTTACCCTTCCTACGTTACGGCGTACTTTCCGTTTTTACTAAGGGATGTCAATAATAGTAACAAAATACTTAATTAATTAAGTTACTTAGGTGAAATACCTATTCTGACTATGATCGACTGACCATCTCTTGGTACCTATGTGAGTTCTGCGATGCCTAACGCATGCAGCTTGCAAGGCCATTCGTCGGGAATCGAGATGCTTGGCTCGGAAGAAAAAAATAGATAGTGTAAACAACAAGTAAACTTGAAATACGATTCCTAACAGAAATGTAATCGTAATATTCTACTTAGTTAAAATTTTTGTTAGCAAACAAAGTTTTAATTTCAGTGTTTTGATTAAAACTTACGGATTTTATCGCGTGTTATTTATTTTATTTTTAAAATGTTATATTCTATGAAAAGAACTTCTACTACGAGGTTAGAGAGAAGGAGAAGGATCGCTACGTAATAAAGCATAACCCGCCTGTCCCTCAAAAAAAGTAGATGAATAATAAAGACATTAATTAATTCGCAACCATCCGCTCAAAAATACAATGATGTGTCTTACCTGGATTGAAGAAGAAGATGAAGTTAGTTGAATAATGTGCAAATTTTCTTCGCGGCATTGGTGAGAAAATAATCGTACTCCGTATTTTTTTTAAATTTTGACAAAAATAAATATTAAAAAATGGTGAAATATTGTATTCTGCGTGGATATGCAAGTGGTTTAGCATTTGATCGGAAAAATAGACTGAAAATAACTTTCATTGATACAATTTAGCGATTGCAGCGCCTCAGTTATTTTGTCCATATTTCTGGGACACTATTTTCTACAGCGATTTCTCTCCTTCTTTTTAACCTCCATGGTCACGGGGGACTGAGGTGACTGATGTCCCGGTGTCAAATTTAACCCGGAGTAACTTCAGCTTTTAATTTATTATCTTTGGTCCGATCTACGCAGAATGAACTTATTGTGTTTTAAAGTCTTGCAGTGGTATGCTTGGGTTTAGTTTTAATTTTATTAGAAATATAGAACGCGAGTAACCCGGGTTTGATCCCCGCCGGCACCAATGAAATTGTTAAATGCAGTTTTAAGTGCAGATTTACCACGTGCTTAGCGGTGAAGGAAAACATCGTGAGGAAACCTGCATGTCTGAGGAATAAGAAAAAAAATATTTCGAAGACATGTGAAGTTCGCCAACACGCATTGAGGCAGCGCGGCGGACACTCTCTTGCCCTAAAACCCTCTCAGAAATGAGGGGAGGCCCGTGCCCAGCAGTGGGACGTATGTAACTTTACTTTTTTACTTTAAGCAGGTGGTAGTACCCAGCCTCACGTATCATCCTTGGTAAGAATCGATGTTCTTTCGCGAGGAATTGTCGTCTATCAAATCTGATGTAATGGTTGGGGCCGTCTAGGATATGATCATTGATCACAAACTGCAGACTTCCTGAAAGCCAGCGTCAGCTATGTGTTCTTTTACGAGGGTTCTAATTGATCTTTTTGTTTGCCCTACATATGAGAGACCACAATCACAATCAAGCTTGTATACTCCTGCATCTTGTGTTTTATTTATTTATTTATTTAATTCAAAAACTCTTGTGGCTTACAGAAAATCCAACACGCATACAAGGTTAAATTTTACATGCAAAAATATTTAAAAAAATTGCATCCAATTATAACAACAAAAATTAATGGTTATTACTTATAAATTAATAATCATAAATTAAACAATGATACTATATTAGTGATATAAAATCTCTAAGCCTTTAGCAGCCCGTGTTGAGAAATTAAAATAGTAATAAACAATAAGATATTAATAATTGTACAATGTTTTAAAAAAGTTCGCAATCATACAATGTCAGGTTACGAAATATTTTGTCATATCAATTCATAATATAATTTCAATAAAAGCTAATTATAATATATGTCTATAATTAAAATTACATCTTAAATACAAAGTAATAAATAGTCATTGACTTATATATTACTAGCGTATAAATAGTACACAGGCATGCGAATTAAATTGTCGAATTATTAATTATCTTATTATCGATAATTTTATAAAAAAGAGTCAGCAGACGTGTCATACTGTCTGTAAATATGTTAATTTCAGCGTGTTGAATGAGTATGTCCCCTATTAGTATCAATGCTCGATTTGTTGGTACATAGGCAGCACGTTTGGTACGTGTAACTGGTCTGTCTAGGCCTACGTGGCCTACGGCGCGAAACCACGTTCCTCCATTATCTCTCTGCAGGTACCTGGGCACCAACAAACCGATTCTCTCCACAACCGGCTGGCAGTCCAACTTGTGGTGAATTATAAAAAGATAATAATACCTAATAGTTGACATCATCCTCCTAAACATGAGGGTTTCTAAATCAACCATACCCAAAACGAATAGGGAAGGATACAAATAGGGGTAGTAACCTCTTCTTATAAAAATAAAAAAATAAATGATAAAAACTTAACGAACCCTTATGATATATGTAGTAACCGCTTTTAATGACTATTTTGTTGACATGACTAATTATATTATAACTAATAATGATAACACGAAAAATATTACACCTAAAAATAAAATATCACTATCAAACTCAATGTTTCTTAAACCCATGTCGAAAGATGAGGTGAGGAAAGAGATCATTAATAAACTGCCTCTTACAAATTAATACCAGAATTATTAAAATGAAATGTTTGACGTTCTTACTTCTAATGACATAACTAGACCGGCAACCTTCAGTTTTTGAATATTAATTTTTGGTCCGATCTACGCAGAATGAGCTTACAGTATCTTGAAGTCTTGCAGTGGTATGCTTGGGTTTGGTTTTAATTTTTGTAATTATAGGATCCCAAGTAGATGGCAGCACCCATCCATCTTCTTTACTGAAATTAGTATGTTTTTTTATATTCGATAGCCTCGGG